CAATTACAGACATAAGTGCAAATAGGCAATGATCTAATTATAGGTTTTGAAAATCAGGGTAGATTTTTCAGATGAATTATTTTGAATTATTTTAGTAAGCCGAAGGGATATATGCGAGTTCCACATTTTAGTCCCAAAGGGGCTGCGCTAACAAGCTTTTCAATACTTTTTACTGTAGTGGCGTATTTACTCATGCTTATGGGACTCTCTGCAACAGATAAAACGCCAAAAAGAAGCATTTAAGGGTGACTTTAAACAACTTTAAACTATGCACTTTACGATCAATTTAAAGTTAAAGTGCCACCACTAGTTGTAGCAATATTGAGAGATGACATGTTTGTATGAACATGACAGTTCATTTTTTCTTCTTTTAAAGATCTCTGAATACATTTAGTAAATCCGATTAACTAGTCATCATGTTTTGGCCTGTTTCGATAAACCAATTAAGACACAAAAGTCACAATTATTGTATTCTCGCTTATGACGTGATATATTTCGACTAATATCTAGTACGACTAATTATCGTAGCGACTATTTGTCGTTCGACCAATTGTCGTAGACCCCACATCTCACTATAAATAAACATACAACAACAAACTTGCACTTAAATCACCCCAACGTAAATTAAACATATAAAATATCTATCTGAACAAAGAGATACCACCAAAGACGAGCATTACGATCATCGTAAGCTATCGTATACGGCGGTGTAAACAACCGTTTACGATCGCATACGGTGAAGCTTACGATCATATCCGATCGTGTTTCGTCGTATTACATGTCGTCAGAATTATGACCGTGTGTCATCGTGTCGTATATGATGAAGTGCGACGAATTACGGTTGTAGTATATTATCGCATGTTTGGCTGAACAGTGTTCTAAACCACCATATTGGTGTTTCTTTACGATCATATACCTGATCGTCTATTTGTTTTACTCTATTATCAGCACCTTCGTTAATAAAAAATACCATGCTATGTGTTTCACATGATGTACCAATTCTCATATTTATTTTTCAACTATAGTATCACATATACAAAAATGCAATTTTTCATGACAATTGAAAAACAAATCGAAAAAAAAGTCCAGTCGAGTAATTCGTCAAAAGTCTGCTTGACTTCTTTGCTGTGTCTCATTTCGTTGTATTGATTATCGAGCTTCTTTAGTTGGTTCATGTCGACGTTCTTCGATTAAGAAATCAGTTAATTTTCTTCGTAAAAGTGCTTGATAAAATAAACCAAAATTTACTACATCCAATTTAAATTTATACCACATTGGATCTATTAAAGAACGAAAACTTTCAAGTCCGAAAAAACTTGAAAAAAATATACATACCCATTCAAATTTTGAAGCGATCTTGATCAAGTGGCTGACGTCTAAAAAATGAGGTTTACCAGATGACAGTATCGAACTCTTGAGTTCATCTCGAGAAAAAACTATTCGCAAAATTTTACGGGCATAATCTCCGTAATCGGTAGCCATCAAATCAAGTAAATTGTAATTATTGAACATCTTAATAGAAACAAGAGAACGTAGCATACACACTGTAACGAATGAAAAATGTATGATTCCATTAGATATGATTTTTATGCGATTGGATTCGATCTACTTTTCCAAAACAGTTTCATTCAATTTCATTCAATAAAATCATTGACTAATATTTATTCGACTTCATTCTATCTATTCTTAGAAAATCTGAATTCGACTAATTCCAAAAACATTCTCATTGTATTTGATGTTATAAACTTATCAAAAGTTTATTATCGAATTCGATGAAGTGTTCAAAAGGAATCTCACTTCATTCGATTCCAATTTACTATGTAAATATTTTCATTTGATTTTTTCGGGTAGACTAGGATAAATGTGGAATTTTTAGCAATTTTTTTGAAACATTTAAAACGAAAACATACACCTGAATATGAAAAATTATTTTTTGATCAAGTTGAAGATTCATTAGAAGTTGTTAATGGTAGTAATCATCGACCAACAACAGAATTATCATCAAGTAACACCAAACAAAATCGTATTGCAAAAGGAAAACATTATTTCATCTACAATCTGATGTTACAGAGATAATAATCCATAAAATTCAAATATTCATTGTTATCTACGTAGAAAGATTATATGAAAAACATAATCTGTGTGCGTTTTTTTAGACTTTAAAATAATTATCAAGTTTTTGAAATATCATCTACAGATGAAAAGCTGTTAAAAGCATGTGTTCCACAGAAGCCACAAACAAACAACTAACAAAAAAGATTAAACTAGATAACATCTCATTAAGTACCCAGTACACATGTACTTAGTATCGGTACTACAGTGCAATATATAGGGTTCGGTAGTTGGCTTATGATAAAGATATGTTTTTAACTTAGCATTTTCATTCTAAACAGTAACATCCAGAAATTAAACAGATCCATTAATCTGGTAGCTAATTTTTATAATTATTTATATATTCCTTATTTGCTTTTTCAAGTTCATCCTTAATTTCATCGATATATCTACAAGAAAACAATTGAAAGACATTACAATATTATTCATTTATGAACCATGAAGCAAATCTTTCATAGATTTGAATTTACTACATAATAAGTGTTGAAAATAATTCCTCTTCTCTTATATTTATATAACTGTCCGATATCGTCTTTCATGTATTCCCTCTTCTTCCATGTCAATTCTATATTTTCAAAGAAGAATCTAATTTTTGGAGTTTCCAAGGCGCTACAATCTTGTCCTGCGCAACTAGTTTAAAGACAGGGTAGTTATAAAAAGTGTCGTCTCGCCCTGTGGACATCTCAGATATATTTAGGAATAATTCCACATGAACTCAACCACACCATCCCGATATGGGAACAGATTTTGCCAAAACTTTCATTGGCTGTAGAGGTTTTAATTTTGAGAACTTTGATAAAAACAATTTAAAAAAACACTTTGATCTGATCCAGATAGGTCGAAAATACTACAACCAGTAAAAAATGAAAAAGTTAAAAAATTCTTTTCTTCTGATTTTTACACTAGAACAAGGTAGAAAATAAAAGTCAAAGGCATATTCAGATTTCCCATGAAAATGCGCATCTATAATCATACTAATCATAGAGCCAGTACTCAAAGTAAAAGTATTTGAAACATTCTTTTAACAAACACCACCAACATAACAAAAGCCGCGAAATATTTTATCAATATTATGAACTATTGCTGAATTGAGCTCGATGTGTTCTATCTTCTAGAGAATATATTTCTACGCTTTCTGACTGAAACCGTTCTGAGAAATGTTACTCTGTAGAATATGACTTCTCGATCATATGGCTCAATGGTTCTGGCGATGGGTAAGCGTCACATTGTATACATGTTCGAATCTAATCTTCATCATCACATATTTCCATTCAGACTAGTTCAGACTCGTCCACTATATAAGCCTATAGCTGGTTGTATACTCGTCCCAGACACATTTAATTTTTTTTATTCATAAATCATCTGTGGACTAGAAAAAAGACTAGTAATTTAACCAGTCTTTTGCTCGCTTGGGAACCTGATATAAAGTTCAACGCATTGTCTGTCAAATATATAATGTGAGTTTCTTCTGGATCAATATCATATGATTTTAATATGATTTTGATTGCTCGAACATTATTCTCACCACTCTTCGTTCCTGAGAATAAAATGTTTTTTAACATATATGTGACAGGATTATTATCTTTTGTATAATGAATGTTAATAGTTAAATAGTTATCACCGGCATAACTACTTTTCCAATAATCAGTACTAATACCAATTAGTTTTACTTGTTTTAATTCTTGCCGTAATATTTCATTCATTTTTAAACGATATTCGTTTGCAATTTGTTTAATAGTACCTGATATATTAGTACAATCAGGAATTAATATATCAGCGGATGGTTTAATTGTCTTCATTAAGCCATATTTATAACCAATATCGATCAAAACTTGACATATTTGTTTGAACCCATCACTACGAACCGAATTAAAGGAACGCATATCAAATGCGCAACATTTTTAACATGCCAGGGTTACCGTTCGTTTATTATCAGATGATAAAGTGGCAATTTTTTTTGTATAACAATCAATTGACATCGCAGATTTTGGTAGATTAATCTTTTTTGTGCAATTTTGCACATGAAGCTTTAGAGAATTCGTTTCATTTTTCACATCATAGGATAATATCTGTTGACAAATTGTACATTGAACAAACGGTTCATAAACATCATCCGAATCCTTGATTCGAAGTAAACTTGACCAAAATTCCCCCGGT